GTCGAGATTCCGGAGGAGTCCAGCCGAGGAGAATCCGCGTCCCGGGTATCGGCGGGAGACACCGAGAGCGAGGAGGTTGGTATACCTTAATGACTGTTTGCGCAGGCCGCGTCGGATAGCCGGCCGTTTGCGTCTCGCGTTTCCGCTCGGCGAGCACGAGCGGAGAGTTAATCTCGAGAAATGTGGTGGCACTTTCAATACTTCACTATACCGAAACGTCGGTCGAGGATCTTATACTATTCCCGACGCGTCCTCTTGGGACGCTGACTGACTCCCACGTCGTCGCTGCCGCGCGACTTCTTACCGATTTGTACCTGGCTCTGCGCTGTAAGCTGCAGCGAGATCGCGTGGGTGTTGAGCTTCTCCGCGAGCAGCAGATCCTTGAGACCCTTCATCTTCTGGCTGTATAGCGTTATCCTCGGCCTTTCGTTCTCGGAGTCAGCCTCCGGGAGAACTTCGGGCTCGACATTCTTGCGTCGTCCGGCGGCGCGACAAACGGCTCACCACCACCCTGTAGTAGGTAATCTCTGTTAAGTATCTTCTCGCTGCAGGCTGCCGTTAGAGCTTGAATACTAGGATGTGTTGACGCTGAATTAGAGGGCACTTTGGATTCTAGGCTCTTGATCAGATCTCGCGCCGCGTTTCCTCTCTCCTTAGTCTTACAATAATTGTTATTGTTGTTCAAGGTCTCCTCGGGACTCGTCTCTCTCTTCTGTGCCGTTTCCTCCTTCTGCTTGACCTCTGTTTCGTAGCACTCTATGACAACCTGAGCGCGTATATTGGCGTCGAACTTCGAGATCGTGTTCACCAACGGGCGAGCCCAACCTATGTGTAACACAGGAGTATTGGCGCCCTCCTCCCATTGACAGATACCGTCGTAGAATCTCAACAGGTATGCGAAACAACGTGGTTGTCGTAGTAAACGCGCGTTGTCGACGCGCACCACGTGCGGTATCAATTCGTTGGCAATCTCCAGCAATTCCTTGTATATTTCCCCGTCATCCCGCGAATAATCATATCTGCGCATAGAATTCTATTATTCACCGCTAACGAACCGCATATCAATGAAGCATTTAACATATTCACTGCCACTCTCCAAAGATATGCAGTTTCAGCAAACTCATTAAGAATATAAAAAAGATTTTAAAAAAACTCATACATCAGATACTTACTTCCGCAAAACATCCGCGGCATCGGCCCACGACGCAAGCGCGTTGACATGTAGTTCATGCCGGTACAGATATCCACCTTGATAGGTGTAAGGATATACATGTGCGTTTCCATAGTATTTCCTTGCTGATCTTACGGCTTCCTACAAAAATATGTTCAGAATAATTATGTATTATGTCTGCAGATAAACAGTAGGTCTATTTTTTATTCTTGCACTAGAATTCTCTTTCTCGCTTTCACTAAATATCAAACACATACCAATCTCAATTTAAATTTCAAAAATATATACTAGTTCAGTCATAGAAAACAGATTTAGTGATGTTATTCGATACTTCAATATCACAAACCTGAAAGAGGTCTATAGGTGGTGGCCTTCCAGGCGTAGGTGCAGCCTCTTCCAACTCAGCCAAATTACCGAGTGCCATAGGATACTTTGCTAGATGGCCTAAGTCATACAACAGCCACAACAACTCCTGCTGGAGCAACGCCACTTCGACCGCGTCGGTAGTCGCATTCAGACTAGGATTTATAGCCGATACTATGGTAGCTACTTCTAAAGCACGACTGCACACCATAGCTTGCCCATTTAAATACAACCACGATCGAGACGCTACACCAGGTTCCACTGGTTGCCCGCGTTTATCCTCGTTTCCCTTACCTGGTAATAAATTGCAATTATCTCTTACCCTTGATTTTTGAAGTCGCAAGTGTAGAATTTAATAAAAGATAGAAGTAATGCAAGTCAAAGATCTAGATTTGAATCTCTCTATCACTTTGCATATATCAAAGAATTTTAAAAAGAAATATTATACTGTAATAAGAAAGATACTTTTCTTAAACAAATCCAAAATTACTTGGTGTAAAATTGGTATGGTACTTTGTGCCGATCAATAGTCTCCAAAGAAAAAATATAAAATATATTTAAAAGAATCTATCTTAGATATCTGATTAAATTGTGGTCTTTCAATCCTGATGATTGAAAGTTCTAAAAGAAGGAAAGAATAGGGCTTGTTCTTTGTTAAAGAACTCTCTGAACTGATGATACACATGTACAATAAGTTAAAGTGAAACAAAAATAATTTGTTTCATTTTTTCTTCCAATCATTAGGATTGAAAGTTTAATCGGACATCCAAGATAATTTTTTTGAAATATAGTTTACATTTTTTCTTTGGAGACTATTGGTCGGCACAAAGTATACCACAACTTTACACCTAATGGATCGAGACTTTGCATCACATACCATGCCATGTAACCTCCGCGGTCTCCGTGCCATCTTCTCCGTATACGACCCACGCATGGTCCTCTGACATGGCAAGATGCACATCCTTGAAACCTAGAACCTGGCAACCAGCCACCACAGCGAAGGCGACTCCGTAACAATCGAGCTTGTTCGCCGTTAGGTAACTGTAGAGGCTTTGCAGATGCGCTCGGTCCTTATAGTAGCTTCTGGTGAGGGAGTTCCATATCACGTCCGACACCTTTTTCACGAGTTCCCTGGTGGCGTACTTGGTGTCGTACACGGTGAGGTCAACGGCGCCCTTGATCACCGCGTGGAACTTTGTATATAATGCCTCGGCGATGTGGTACTCCACAGGCGGTAGCTTCGGCTCGTCGTAGACGGCGTTCTCCTGGGGCGTGAAGACGCGATTGCACGTCAAGGAGTTCTCGACTGCGCCGATGAGGATCGAGAGCAACGCGAGGTCCGGCTCGGCGCTGTTCTCCAGCTGATTCTTGAAGATCTGCACGATCGCGGAGATGCTCCGGATCGGGAACAGGGCCCTGTCCCTGTCATGAAAGCCCGCCATGTCGTACGAAGGCCCCGCCGAACTTGGGAGGTTGGACACCACGCACGTTACGCACGCAACGACCGTCGTTGGTAGCGGCGGTGGCGCGGCGGCCGATCTACGACGCCCGTGTGAGGCTCGTCATACCGCTGGCCGTTTCGGCGCACGACTTCTGACAGAAACCAGGGACAGAAACTCGCAACGGGCGGCCACGTCGGGCCCGCCGACTCCGTCCGGCCAACGCGCGCGCGTTTACTCCGCTCCGCTAGTGAACGTTACCCGGCGTTACGCGGGTCCTCTCGCATCACCGCACGACGAAAGCACCGCCAGCGACCGCTCTCTCTCCTTCTCCTCCTTCACCGCCTCCGCCTCCTCGCCGCCCGCTCTCGCTGCTGGCCGTGTGGTTGCGACGCTCTACGCCACTCTACGGTACCGTCAGCCGTGCCGTGCCGTGCCGTGGCCGTCCAGCGGCGCCGCGCTCCTCGTCCTCCGCTCGCGATGAGCCGCTTCTTGCTTGCGACAGGAGTCAGCAGTCGCGTAAGTCGCGTTTCCTTTCCACTTGATCGCCACCGTTGCGCCGCGCTACGATCACCGATGGAAACCGACGGCATGCTTTCCGTAGGCGCGATGTGTGATTTTTTGACGCGCAATAGACACGGAAAATCTACGTATATGCGCGACGGCCAATCAACCTCCCGCTTTTTCGGAAATAATAGATACGTGACGGGGGAGATTGATTAGCGCGACGTCCAGCGCGTTCCGCGTGACTCGAATGCCGTCACGCCAATTATTTTCATCGTAACGAACGATGGTAAACCATTGCTTTTGCACTGTGAAGCAAAAATTGGAAGCGATAGAATTTACAGGTCTAGTGAAAAAGAGTCAATTGAGATATCTGCGTTGTAGCGAATTAATAAATCTAAATATTATTCCTGCGTCAAATGGAAGCGAAAAATTAGTTGATTTTATGATATACTTATGATACGACAAAAAAATATAATTATCACTGTACAATCGCTACGATCGCTACGAATAAAGACAGAAATAATTTTTAGAGCAAAAGATGAAACTGGTGCAATTTTAACTAATTTGAAACTAACTTTTGATAGTATTATTTAATGTTTTAATATTTTTTAGTTATAAAGCGTTTATCGAATGCAGACACAGAAAAATATAATGCATTTTAAGAGGTCAGATTTAAAATATTTTTATTTATTTCTCAATATATATAATTTTTTACATGTGTCTATTTTTTAATATTTTGCTTAAAATGAAAATTGACATAACAAAATTCATTTACATATCGAAAATTCTTATCAATTCTTACATATTTCTTATATTTATTTTACTGTTATTACCTCCCACTTTGGGAAATCCAATGCTGTTTAGAATTTGTACAATAGCTTAATTCAATGTTACAGAGTAATGTAAATTTACTTGAAATATATATTTTAAATATGTGTACATTTCTTTACATCTAAAATAATAACTAGAATTTTATTCTTGAAACCGACGCGAATCGTCTGAAGTGAGCTCCAGAGCTCCACACGAGAATCGAATGTCGAATCGCGATTTGAAAATCTTAAGATGGCGCAGCCCTGTTTATCGCGTCGTGTTTCTCTGTCAGCTGCAGCAGCTGCAGTCAGTTGATCGTTCTACCACGATAAACGCATATTTTTACCTAAATGTATTTTCACCGAAGTCACATTATCGGAGAATAGCAGAGAATTCGCGTGAATTCGCGGAGAAGTTGCTCAAGTCGCATCGCATTGCGTTTATTACTCAAGAGACCAATCCTGAGTTTCCGAGATGAAGGTGACAATAAAGAGTAAGTATATGGAACGGCATTCGAAAGTTTCTTGCCGTCTATTCTATCTTGTGCATATAATTCTAACGCGACACGTATAAAACTCTCAATCTCGTGATGATAGATGTTATGGTTATGTCACGGCCAACGTTCGCATCATTCATACGTTTTTCTCGGCCGCAAAGCACTTATACGTAGATCAGCGTCTACGAGGCATTTCTCTGTCCAGGTTGGACAGGCGTCGCCACCTGGCGATGGATCGCGAACGATGATAACTGCGGTATATGCAGGATGCCGTTCGACGCCAGCTGTCCAGATTGCAAGATCCCTGGAGATGACTGTCCACTAGGTACTCGAAACACGTACTCTTTTTCTTGCAGTATTTTATCAAAGTAAACTTTACGATTGCTATTTTTTTATTAGTTTCTCTTTTCTTAATTATTTATTTGAAAATAATTTCTCTCCCTGTATGTGACATTTCTTTAAACAAAAGAGCATTTATTATATTTTTTATTAGTGCTATTTTTACATTTTTTTGAGAGAAAAATTAGAAACAGTGATTTATGCACAATTAGAAATTTTACCATATGAAGTAATTATTGCTTAAATTAATAAGATGTATTTATTGTATGTATATATATAATTAAGTATATCTACTATATATATATATTTTTTAATGAGTAATTTTTTATTTAACACATTTAACAAGAAAGAAAATTATGAATTAGATTAAATTGGAAATGACGAATTATATAGTTAGAAATTTATTTGGAAACAAATTCCTTGGAAAAACATTTCTGTTAAATGAATCAATCATTAATGAAATTACTCAGAATTTCGCTCAGAAGATCGATATATCTATAATTTGCGTTTTTTTCCAACGCGTTTCTGCTTATACTAATCTATTTGATGTACGCATATATTTTAATAGATATACATTTTCTATTTGTGTCCGTTTAATTAAATTCCATATACATATATTACGCACAAAATAGAATATCATTCTAAATTTTAATATATAATTATAGATCGTCGAAAGCAGGCTAAAAAATAGGATGATCTCATTTAAGCCTTGTGTTCACGAAGTGAACTATCTAAATTTTAGATCCTTTAGCAAAATTATTCTTTCCCTGTATAAATTGCTCCGAGATCTCAGACAAAGAATCGACTACTGGCCATAGTGACTGAATTGTTCAAATGTAATTTGTTAATTCTTTCTCTACATCCGGAAATTTCGGGGTGATTTCTATATGAAATAAAGAATTTTGTTAAACTATCTAACAATTTATCTAGATACAGAATCTGGAAATAATTCCGTGAAGCTACCAAATAATTATGTAAGACGCTCAAAGTGGTTACTAGAAAACTTTACAGCATTGCACATTATGCTTAAACAACCTACATAATTATTTTGGTAGTCTAATAAAATTATTTTTAGATCTGTATCTAGTTAAATATTTAGATCAGTGCTCGGAAATATCAGACGATTTGACAGTTCGAATCTTAAGTTCGAATGTTAAATAGTTCAGACTGAATGTATGTTCGAACTATTTTAACCCACTTCAGGATTGAAAGTTCGAAATTATTACATTTCGAACTCAGACATTATAAATCGTCCTCAGGATCATCCTAAATATATCCAGGATGGTTCAGGATATTTGTAGGACGATATCAATAAATATAGGAATTTTATTTAACTGTTCCTTTGTTTTCAAGGTATATTATATTTGTTTACTATCCGAATCGTCCGAACTTCAAACATAACGAATTGACATTTCATACTGCTTATCATTGCTTAAGCCCAAACTGTTCGACCTGTCCGAAATATTCGAATTAGATGCTCATTTTTTTAAACTTTGAACTATTCGAATAGATCGAATATTCAACATGTTCGAATCTTTTGTCTGAGCCCTAATTTAGATACTTCAATAAAATAATTCTTTTCGAGTAGCATCATGAGATACAAAGTTTTATACTCCCGACTCGTAAAATACCGCCACGACGAGAAGGCCGCATCTGCGACGGCGCGCGATGTCGTGATATCGATCGACGCGTGCCGGTCGGCCGATGGACAAACGCGGCTGGTAGGCGCCGCTGTCCCTCACCCTCGCCCTGGACACCCTCGGGTATCGATGCGCGGCGAATGTGTGCACGCACGTCCGTCCGTTCTTCCCGTTGTTACCACCCTTCCTTTCCCTTGCTGCTAATCGCCAGGTGCACCCGACCGTTCACCGGTCCGTTGCCCAACATCGACGAAATTAATTTAACCACTCGTGTACATCGTTTCGTTTCAGTGTGGGGGCAGTGCTCGCATTGTTTCCATATACACTGCATCATGAAGTGGCTGCACTCGCAGCAGACCAACCACATATGCCCGATGTGTCGCCAGGAGTGGAAGTTCAAGGAGTAACCGCCGCTTATCCCGCAGGCCCGCAGGTGTCAGCACGCAGCGAGTGATCAGGTAAACGACGCGTGCCTCTTCGTTCCTCCCTGCGAGGTTTCCCTTCTGAAGAGACTCGGATGTAAATCGGATCGGTTATTTTAGGAGAAATTAGACATCTCCCCATAATCTGTTTATATCTATAGCTGGTATTCTCTTATATATATTATAGTTGGTTCTTATATCTAAGATGAGAGAGTCTTAAGTACAAGTCTTAAGATGTCATAAGTATACCAATCAAAAACTAAATATTAGCATCTTAAGACATATTATTTAAGACGGTCTTGAACTCTCTAAATTCTTTGGAATGGAATCTCATTCTAAAGAGTTTCTCTAAATTCTTTGGAGTGAAACTCTTTAGACTGAGATTCCATTCAAAGAATTTAGAGAGAAATAGAAGCGACTATAAATACCGGTTTATATAATTTGTACAATCTAAATAGTCTGTGTAACACGAATCTCTTTTGCTAAATCTCGCAAGTTCTCGTAAACTCAGGCTTTCGGCATCATCAAGCCTACATAAATTTGTTTAAAAAAGCTATGAGGAGTAATCAAATAGCTAGTAAATGCCAATAATGCTTTATTTATTCATGTTTATTTATTCATAGCACGTTTTTTTTTAAGCCGATTCATCGTATTCAACGCGTTGTTTGTAAAACGTGTAATAAGATTTATACAATTCCATACGAATGACTTATATGTCTTCTAAAAGAGAATGTGTCGTACCTAAATTTAGAAGCTTATCTAGAGTCGTCCATCCGCCGATTAGATTCGCCTGCCACACGACAACCCGTTGTACATTCTCGTATAATGTCGCGATTGGTCTGAAATTCGTTACCTCGCGAATATATATACCTAAAATTTTTACGCCTCATTCCATTCGGAATTTTCACCTCAACAGCACGTGCGATTAATCTCTCTTTTTCGGCACGCATACAGAAAAACGTGTTTTGAAGAGGAATTGTATAAA